CAATTGAAATAAAAATTTGTTAATAAAATTGACAACTGCTTTATTTATATAAAATTTTGAATTAAAAATTTCCAGCCAGCTAAGCCGTTTAAAAATTCCTTAGCCGGCTAAGCCGTTAAATTCCTTAGCCGGCTGATATCACTAACTAAAACATAATTAATAAAATCACCTTGTTAAGCCAAATTCAATATAATTCGATAAACTAAACTTAAGGTTTGATGTTGATGATTATAAACCAATTTTAAAATTCATCTTATAAAGATAAAACCATGACAAACATTTTAGAAACACAACAACAAGAAAATAAAAAACTATTAAATAAAATTGCTGATTTAGAAAAATAATTAGCAGATAAAGATAAGGAAAGAGAAGAACAAATAGAAGATCTGAAACATAAAATCTGACATGTAACAGATCAGTCTCTTGATGAGAATGGTGAAGTTAGCATGTATGCTCCTAGGGGAACATGATGATACAAAAGACTAAGTAAGAAATGAATGGATGAAGGGAAATTAAGAATGGCAGTAGATCCAAATGAAACTAGGGAATGAGCCAAAAATTGTAAAAGAGTTTGGTTTGATAACATTACAATTGAAGAAATGTTAGATGGTTTGATTGAAAGTTCAAATGAATTAGGTTCAGAATGTTTAGATTATGTTGGAAAGTTAAGTAGTTTAAATGCTCAAAAGTATGAACAAAAAGGAGAATACAAAGAGAAGTTAAATGAAAAAGAAGAGCAGATTAAAAACTTAGAAGCAGAAAGAAATGAACTAGAAGCATGGGTAGAAGAGTTGGAAGATGATGTGGAAATGGAATGAGAAGAAGCTAAGAAAGCACTAGATAAAGCAATGGAATGGAGAATAAGACAGAAAGCAGAATTAGAAAATGCTGGCAATGAACTTTTGGGGCAATTATACAAAGAACATAAGAAAAATGAGAACCAAAAAGAATACATTGAACAATTGGAAACAAAACTGTATGGGCAAGAATAGCCACTGAGAAAAGTACTTGAAAAAAATGCAAATCAAAAACTGAAATTGAGGATTTACAGGGAAAACTAGGTTCAATTAGTAAACTGTATTTGGACAATAAACCTTCACCAAAATCACCAAGCAAATTCAAAATCTTTAAAGAAAAAACAAAAACTAAATTCCAACACTTAGTAGAAAAAACCAAAAACCAAACTCAAGAGTTATTGACTTGAATAGAAGCTAGAGTCAAGTAATTATGAGAGGACTCCTTTACACAATTTTGGGTTTAGAAGAGTGAAACAAAGAAGGAACTTGTGATCTTTGCTCTCATTTTGAAATAGTGAAAATCAATCAATCTGTCAAATTAGAACACAAAGTAAAGTGACTGAAGAGTTAGTAACAAATGATTATGTTTGCCAAAAATGTAAAGAGAAATTTGAGAATGATGAATTACCAAAATGTAAAAGATGTAAAAGGTTAGAGACTAAATTAAATAGAGATACTCTTTATGATTGTGTTAGAAATAATGAAGATGTGGGGAGACCATATGCTTTTTATGAAAGGCAAATAAATTCTTTAAGAGAAGAATTAGCCACTGCAGAGGAAGCCCTAGAAGTTGAAAGAGAGGAGGTAGCCAAATTTCAAGAAAAATCTGAAGAGTGAAGTAAAAAACAGAAACAAGAGTTATTGGATAAGATAAAGAGTTTAGAAGAAAAAATTAAGCAACTAGAAAAGGAAAACAAGACATTAAAAGATCAGCAGAATGGTCAACTAACTGCACAAATTGAAGTCAAAGAGACTAAAAGATGATCATGATTGAAAATAAAAAAGTAATTGAGGAAATTTCCCTCTGTATAAATTGAAAATGGTAGTTATTTTCCTTTTAAAGATTTTTGCTTTTTATTAGGTAATAATGCATCATTATGATGTTTTCTTTTTCCAACATTTATTATTTTTCTTTCTTCTTGATAAATTTCATAGGTAATCCTTTCTTTTCTTAGATAAGTTTCCAATGCCTGAGTATAATTTATTTTGAAAATATAAGGAGCAATTTTTTCACCTTGTTCTTTCTTCAGAATACTTCTAATGGTGCTATAATTCTTAGATTCCATAGTAGATCTGATATAAATTAGCTTCATATTAACTATTTTATATAGAGGTAATTCTATATATCATTTAAAATAACAAATGGAATATTATAAAATTGATTACATTACAATTGTGATGGTAATGACTAAACTTTGATCCCTGAAATTTTTGGTAATACTGATGTTCACTTTGTCTGGTTTTGTTGCAACATGCCCCATATATGATGTAGTATTTTTTTGCTAAAAAGATTTGTATCTCATACTTGCTTGGATTTAGTATGTATATCCCATGTGTTCTAGTATGGCACTACTAATGCTCAGCTATTATTAAAAAGTTTTTAATAATCTATCACACATACTATCTTAGGTTAAACAAGTTTTTGTGCGCAGTCACGCCCTATTTTCTATTCTAAATTTTATAACATAAAAAAGATCAATAATCGATTTTGTCACATGTGATATTAATATTAATATATGTCCACTATTATTATTATATAAATTATGCTGTAAGCATAGTGGAGGTTTATTGTTACATGAAATTTTATACAGAGCCCATTACTCCTGAAACTTCACCAGTATATACTGTAGTTGTTACCTCTAAATTGGAGCTCAAGTTCAGATCCAGTTTATCACTTACTTTTTATTGCCAGAATGTTTGCCGTGTAAAGTTACGTTGCACAATATAAAAATTAATGTAACATTCAAATTTCCACTATTTACTATTACTAATATTACTATTACTATACTGTAGTTTTCGAGTGTACCTTTATTATTATTATTTTCATTTTTATTTATTTGATAAAATGATGTTGAATAGACATTCTAGGTCTTCAAGACCTAGGAAATCAAAACCAAGAAGTTCGGGAAGAAGTAAAACTCTTTCAAAAAATAAAGTAGTCATAAGACGTTTACCACCATTGTTGCCTGAAAATCAGTTCTTAGAATCAATTAAACAATGGGTAAACGAAAACACAACTGATCAGCTCAAGTTTTATCCAGGGCGAGTTAGTAAAAGGTAATAATCATTAAAAAGCTGATTAAAATAAAATATACATAAAGATTTATTGTTTATAAAATTATTTTTATAGTAAAAATAAAGAATGTATTTATTCAAGAGCTTACATACATTTCAAAAATATTGAACAAGTACTGGAATTTCATAGAGTCTATGATAATCATTTATTTAGAGATAAACAAGGTTCTTTCCTATATTATTTTAAAAAAAATTTTTATTTTTATTTCTAAATTTCTAAAAAAAAAAAATTAATAATAGGAAATGAAAATAAAGCAGTAGTCGAATTTGCAATTTACCAAAAATTACCAAAAGAAACAGAAAAACCCGATCCAAAGCAAGGAACAATTGAAACAGGCAATTAATCACATCAATCAATATATTTGATTAATAGATATATATTTATTTAAATATTCATATCATAAATTCAGATCCCGATTATATTGCATTTCTTGAGACTATAAAAGCAGAAGAGGCACAACAAAACGCATTTAAAGAACCAAGCGCTACTTTAGAAGGTGGTGCTACTCAATTAGAAAGATTGGAAAATCGTTTAGCTAGTGCTGCAGGTATATAATATTAATAGGCTAATAAAAAAATAATTTAATCACTTGCCAAATAATCATCATACTAACATCTCATAACTACAACTACAACTATAACAACCACGATACCTTTACTCTTATTATTGTCATTGTTTGTTTGTTTGTTTATTAGCTAATGCAGCATTGAATGCGTCTGAAAAGCCAAAAACTACTCCATTAATTGAATATTTACGTGCTCAAAAATCTGGTACTAAATCAAAATCCTTATCTATAACATCATCAACATCAAAAATTTCATCAATACTTTCACCTGCTAACCCTCATTCATCTTCATCATCACAAACAACATCTAAATCCGTCATTAAACCAGCTCAACCTTCTAGAACTGCTCAAGCAATTGAAGCTGCTGCGGCTGCTGCTGCTAATAATAATTCTTCAAAATATTCTAATAAAAAAGATCACGATAAAAGAAAATTTGATAGGGAAAGGGAAAGGGATAGAGAACGGGAACGTGAGAGATTTAGAGAAAAAGATAGAAGAATTAGAGAAAGGGAAAGGGAAAGGGAAAGGAATAGGGAAAGGGAAAGGGAAAGGGAAAGGGAAAGGGAAAGGGAAAGGAATAGGGAAAGAGAAAAAGTAAGAGAAAGAGAAAGAGAAAAGGAGAAGGAAGGGAGAGATGAAAAAAATAAAGAAACTGTCAAAGATAATAATAATTCAGATCAAAAAATTGATAAGATAGGTGATGATGCTACTACTAAAGCTGAAACCAACGAATCAAAAGAAAAGGAAATCACAAGAAATCCAGCTGTAAAAATAACAATTCAACAACGTCAAAAGGATCAAATAAGACAAATCATACAAAGACCAGTAAAAAAAGAAGATAAAGAATCTACAATTGACAATAATAATAGTGAAACAAAGAAGAATGAAACGTCTAACAAGGAAATAACTTCAACTAATTCATCCATACGATCATCCACCACAAGTTATTCACAATCATCAAATTCTTCATATTCACCACATCGTGGTAGACGTGATAAAAGAAGAAATTATAGCTTTGATAATAAACCACACCACGGCCAAATACAAATATTAACTAAACCTCAATCTCAACAACAAAAAGCTGCTATAAATACATCTAATACTACCACTGATTCTACTACTGCATCTTCTTCACCTGCATCATCATCCACAGCGAAAACTTCTGCTACTACTAGTAGTACATCTCAAGAAAATAGTAACAACGACAACAATAACAATAATACTAAGGCTGAAACTTCACAGAACACTAGTAGTAGTAGCAGCAGCAGCACTTCCAATCATCAGCAACATTCAAATAATGTACCACCTTCAAACAATCGTAGAAGTAGAGGTTATTATAGTAGAAGAGGAAGATGGTAAATGATGCCTATTCTCCATTTAGGAATACTGCATTTAATTTGCATAAGAAAGAAATTGTTATAAAGCGGTATGACGTTTTTGTCTTATTTGAATATTTGCTGTTTTGTGAAATTTTACATTCCACAAAGTTCAAATGGTTGTAGATATATTTTCTATCCTATTCCTATTCCTATTCCTATATTCCTAAGCCTAAGCTCAAGCTACTCGCTCAAAAATTTCACTTTGAAAAAAGGTTGAATTTATTATTATTATTCTATTTTATTATGTGGACGTTCTCCGCACTGTAAAAACTTCTAAACTAGATTTGGTTAAAATTTTGTAGTGATGCCATTTTTTTATTATTTAATTTATTGGAAGCATACATGATGTTTTGACAACAAGGAGAAGATATTTAATATTATTTCATGAATCAAATAATGAATCTGAATATTAATATGATATTTTTAATTAAAAACATAAATCAACTATTAAATATTCAATATTATTAATTTTGAACAATATTAGTATTAGGGAAGAGCATAAGAATTCTCGACGTTTACATGTTACACGATTTATATACGGTGCACTAATGTAGATCAAAACTAATTAGCATCATATATAAAATTTACTAATAAACTTTTTTTCAACAATTATAAAAATAAAAATTGCATCTTCTCATTCAAAAAAAAGATACAACTATAAAATTAAGAGATATTATAACAAATGTAATGGTCCACATGGCGACAGAGAGTTTTTTTAAATTTTATTAGTAAAATCATCCAAAATGTTAAAAAATACTGTTAAACTTTGAAACGTATAGGCTCAATAACCAAACAAGTTAGAGTAAAAAAATTTCCATGGTTTTTTTCTCTGTGATTCAAAGAATAGCCCGACAGAGAGTTTTTTTTAATTTTATTAGTAAAATCATTCGAAATGTTAAAAAATACTGTTAAGTTTTGAAACGTATAGGCTCAATGACCAAACAAGTTAGAGTAAAAAAATTTCCATAGTTTTATTCTTGCGATTCAAAGAATAGCCTGACAGAGATTTTTTTTTAAATTATTAGTCACATCAATCAATCAATTAGTCCCGATATCTACGGTGACTATGACGTCCAGATGACGAGGAAGAATAATGCCTTTTTTCTTTGTGGCTTCTTCTATGATAAGGCTCATCTCTATTATCTCTAGAAGAAGGCCTATGATGCTTAGTATGTGTCGATCTTTCATAATCTTTTCTATCTGGTGAATCCTCATATCTATGGGTTTTGGGATATTTATTACTTCTGTGTTTATGGGATGATGAAGAATGACGTCTTCTTCCAAGCGATGAGCCTTGATATCTATCAGGTGATGGTGGCGTTGTTGGTCTGTCTTCTATTTCATCTTCATCTATTAATGCGGTATCTTCAACATCAATAATATCAGCATTCTCGTCATCCTCTTCCTCTCCATCATCCATATTATTACCAAATGCTTCATTATTCTGAATCATTTTAGGAGATGGTGATCTCGATTGGCGGCTATAGCCTTTTGAAATTGGTTCATCATTAATAGATGTATTGCGACTCATATCTTCATGTATTGCTGCATCATAACCATGATAAGAGTCGTGGTGTCCTGTCTTACCATTCTCTGCATGTAAAGATGCAACCGATGATGGAGTTTGTGAGATTTTATGTTCTTCTTGATCAACTCGCTCACTGGTCGAGGCTTGATAACCACCATAGTAGCGTCTACTATCATCCGGATATCGACGATCATCTGGATATCTTCTATCATCTTTTCTGTCATAATAAACATCACGGCTAGGTCTTTTATGTCTATTTGATGAAGATGAAGATGAAGATGCAACTTTTCGTCGGTCCTCGTATATTATGCGCTCATGCCTTGAAGGAGAATGGCTATCGCGTGGTTCGTCATGGTGATGATAATGTGAGGATCGTCTACTCAAGCTTTTACGTGATCCATCTTTACTTCCTTTTGGACTTGAGCTACGACCTCTTTCTCTCTCTCGATTATTGATGATGTTTTCTTCTGGTAAAAACTCTCTATCATGTCTTTCATATTCAGAGATATGCAGTGGTGATTGCTTTTCTCTATTTTCAATTTCTTTTTCAGGAGTATGTTGTTGTGATGACAATGGCTTTTTTCGTGCCATATCACGTCCAAAATCATCTATAATTTGTTGTTGTTCATCATCATATTTTTGTTCATCATCACGATAATCTGATCTTTCAGGTCTGTATTCATTGAATATTATTATTATTATTATTATTATTACAGTAAAAAATTTGAGAAATACAAAAAGGGATTCTTTAATAAAATCATCCACTTACATATCGCGTCTTAAAGTCCCTAAAGCTGCACCTGGTTCTCTTCTATAATCAACGGCATTACCACGACTTCCAAAAAATGTATTGTCATGGAAAAAACCTGTTCCTCTTGCACGACCACGTCCTCTGGGTTGAAATGCTCCGCCACGTCCTCCAAATCCTCCACGAAAGTTATTATTATTACCTCTGAATGCCGGAAGACCGGTTGCACCTACCATGCCACCACCGCTCATATTTCCACCAAATGGAGTAAAATTTCCTTGTGGGGGTACCCAAAATTCATCATAAACCGGTGGCCTAAATGGAGGCATAAATTGTGGTTGTGTTGGGAATGGTTCAGCTGGAAAGAATGTTGGATCGAAAAAAGTTTGATCATAAAATCCAGGCCCATTTAACAAATTCATATTCATTGGAAAACCAGCTAAAATCAAAAGTCATAATTATAATGGTAAGTATATCATTGGATGATTGATTAGTTGTTCTTTTGTTTATTTTATATATTGATATCTCTTTCAGTTAATTACCTTCGTCGAACCAATAACCTTGTGCTTGATCATAACCAAATCCATAATCATAAAAACCAAAATTTGCAAAGTTTTGTGATGCAGTAGCATTGTTTTGTACAAATTGTTTACCATTAACATTCGGGAATTGATGTCTCTGTTGAGAAGTTTGTAAATGTTGTGCTAATAGTGTTGAGGTTTGAGTAGGAATTGGTTGTGGTGCAGAATGTGTTGAAGTCTGAATTGGAATTGGTTGTGTTAAAGGATGTGAAGAAGTTTGTGTTGGGATTGGTTGTGTTGCAGAATGTGTTGAGGTTTGTGTTGGAATTGGTTGCATTGTAGAATGTGTTGAAGTTTGAATTGGAATTGGTTGTGTTTGCTGTATGGAAGATTGCGCAGGTGATTGCGCAGGTGATTGTATATTTAATTGTGTGATCGATTGTGGTAACACTTGTGATGATGATTGCATTAAAGATTGCGTGGGTGAGTGTGTGGATGATTGTGTTGGTGAGTGTAATGATGATTGTGGTTGTTGAGCATTAGAATTATCTTGTAGTTTTTCAGATGATTCAGTTTTATCATTCTTTTTAAAAATGTAGGAAATTGAGTTTTTTAGTAAGTTTATATATAAAAACAATAAATATTGATATTGTTAAAAAAAATTTTTAAAACATATAAGAATTTACCAAGTTAGTTATATTTGTTTTTTGAGATTCCATAACTTGATCTGTCTCTTCTGTCTCTTCATTATCAACCTGGACAAGATTAATGTTTGCATTTTCTTCAGTTGAAGGAACGTCACTTATATTTTTATCGTCATATTTTTTATCATCATCATCGTCGTCGTCGTCATCATCAATCTTTTTAAAAGCATTTGTTTCATTTCTGCGTCTAGCCCATTCTCTTAAATGATTATCAACAGCATCTCTGGTAGCTTTATTGGGTAATAAATCATCTGGTACTAAATCTTCTTTACAGTTTGGACATTTGAAATGTTCATCTTTGTGTGGAGGATTTATCAATCTGTTTCGAATACCTATTTAATATATATATTACACCAAATATAATATTTACATATATAAATAATTAATTATCAAAAGAATTAATTGATTAACGAAATAGTATGAAATAAAATCACGAGAGAATAATTGAAAGAGAAGTCATGGGTTAGTATAGGTAAGTGATAAAATAAAAAAGTTGCTGTATAAAGTATTATTTGCCATCTCCTTGTAAATCTCAAAAGCTGCTTCTAACAAATTAAAATTAGTTGCGCTTGAAGTAATATATATGTATATAAATATACATAGTCTGATGATACAAGGTTAAGCATAACAATTCTTAAAAGCAACGGTGGATTCTCCCAAACTATGATAGAAAATCAACAATTTCTTTCTTGAATTATTACGTTGTTAGAAGAAAGTTGAACTATCTAAAAATATTATGCTAAAAAGAATTTTGGTCCAAAAAAGAAGAATATTCTTTTTCATAATATATAAATTATATATATATTATTTTAAAAAAAAAATCCATAGTGAAATAAAGGTTTTTTTTTTTAAATTAAAATTCACTAAACTCAAGAAATAGTTGTGAATAAATTTATTGTGCAATAAATAGAACTTGAACAACTGAAAAATTATAAAATGAAAAAAGACACAAACATAATAATATAACCTATAAACAAACCACAAGAGCATGACTAGCCTAGGATACCTAATCTGTCTATTATTCTCATAAAATAAATCTAAAAAATGTTGCTGTAGTAAAAAGCAACAATACATACATTCATCACAAAATAAAACTTGACAGCAGGGTGTTATAACAGCTTCTCTAAGAAGTCCATTACATATCATACACTTGAGTTCATCAGGTATCGGAATTTCTTCGAGAACTTCGTTGGACGTCACGTATGATTTCTGACGAGCATGAAATTTTTCCCATGCAGCACTTAATGATTTAAATAAACAAATTAATCGATTTGATGCAATAATTTAACCAACATTTATTTATTTATATTTTAAGGAATAATAAACATTGAAATAATAGTAAATACATACTCATTTGCTTGTGCAATTACTAGATTTCCATCCTGAGTGACTAATACACCTTTCCCTGGTGGTACTGTGTCTACTTTTTGCAAAAAACTTTTCGGAATTCCTGTAGTCTTTTTAACTTTCATATTATCATATGACCTATCACCATTAGTAGGACATGCTTGAATCCAATGTCCTTTAAATTAAATAAAGATAGAGTGAGTTAGCAAGGGAAAAAAAAGTATTCGCAGAATATAAAACAACAATAAATTCTTATATTTTTACCTTTTTGACCACACCTGTAGCATACGTAATTTGGTGGCAAAGGTTTTTGTATTTGTGGCTTTATTTGGATACGGGGTTGATTAGATCTTCTAAGAGCTGGTTTTCTATGAATTGTCATAATTTAGAAATAATTTAGTTAACATTATTATAATAACTACAATATTATTTCTTTTAAATGTACTTACGAGGCCATTTGTTCTTGAGTTTTTTCCCAGAATTCACTAGTCTGTTTAAACATAGTTGCTATTTTATCTTCTTCTGATTGTTCAGTTGAGTCTTGAGTTGTTGTAATAGGAGTAGGTGTTGAGTAAGGAGAAAGATGATGTGTTTGATTTGGAGGTTCAAATATTTTTGACATTGATCTATATACAAAAAATTTTTGACATATATATATGGATAAAAATATACGTATGTACGTTCATTCGATCTCAATCCCTGTCAATTATTTAAATAAATTAAATTACCCATTAGTTGCATTATTTCCACTTCTATTAACATTCATATAATTTCTTTGAGTAACTGGCGCTCCTTCCAAATAACGATTTGCTGTACCTTTTCCTGGTTTGGTAGGCACACGACGAACCACTATTGGTGTATTTCTTGGTATTATCGCATTATCATCGGAATATTCTATTATTTAAAAAAAAAAAATTTTGCAACTCATTTAAATGAGAACAATAAACATGTGAATTAAGTTAATAATTGATTGAGTGAAGTAATGAATACCTTCACTGGATTCGGCATGGGAGATCACGAGATCAAAATCATTTCCCTTTAATTTTTTAGCAATTAATATTTCTTTTTTTACATCAAATACTGATATTCCTAAGCCATCGAAAGTAATAGAGTCATAGTCTTTAGCACTTTTAAATTTATAATATAATTGAGATGACATTTTAAAAGTTTAGTTTAATTAAAAATAAATTCTAAAAAAAAATTTTTTTTTAACAACTATTTAAGGGTAGAGTATGACACGTCATTGTCATATTAATATTAATACTGGAACTGAATGTTTTAATAGTGCGCACAGTAAAAGCATATATAGGAAATTTGAAATGTTGCACTAATTTTTTATATTGTGCAACGTAACTTTTCAATACACGGCAAACATTCTAGCAATCAAAAGTAAGTGATAAACTTGATTTGAATTGGGATCTGAACTTGATCTCCAATTTAGAGAGATAACAATTATATACAGTTCACTCTCTCTATAACGGCCCGCCTGATTTGGCAAAAAAAGGCCATTATATAGAGAGGCCGTTATAGAGAGTTTGCATATCATAGTCATAATGTGATACAATATAAAGATTTTTATTTTGTATGATAAAATATATTTAAAAAATAAATGAAATAAATGAAAGTAAACTATTTATTAATTTGCATACTTATTCAAATATTAAAAAAAGCTATCTAGTGTGGATTGTTGTTGTGAGTTAAAATCAATTTTTTTAATTTTTCTTTTCAATAATTTAAAATCATCCTCATTTAATTCTGATTGTTTGTTGGTCAATGTAAATTTCTAATGTTTTTATTGCTGACAGGGCTTCTTTATTTGTAACCGGTGGAAGTTCTTTGATTATTTCTTCCTGGCTTTCATTTTCCTCTGGTGGATTAATTATTGTAGCTATGTCATTTAGATTATTTCATCACTTACATGAGAGTCACCAATTTCAATGTATTCAGACGCAGATATAGGATTAGGGAGTGCAAGTTCATCAATCAAATTTTGCAAATAATTGAGCTCTCTTACATTCAATAAATTTAAAATTGATGACATATTTTCAATTTCGTTGGAATTAATATCATAATCAGGTAAGATATCAGTTTTTTTCCAGCAGTTAACTATAGTTTGACTGGTAACTTTTTTCCAAGTTTTTGCTGTAAATTTAATTGTATGTTTTAATTGAAATTTTTTTATATTCTTGGCCATTTCTCTCTTCTTTCATAATCACTAATTTTTTTTGCAAGAAAAGTTTTTTGTAGTTCACCTTGAAGCTGTTAATTATCCCGGCATTACATTGTTGTAAAAATGTTGTTGTGTTTGGTGGTAAGAAGTAAACTCTTACATTAGTTAAATTTGTTGAATTCAGAAATAGAATGGAGTGGGAGTATTGTGACAATAAGCGCGTTCAAATTATTAATATTAATAATTGAGTGTGACACACTCAATTTCTTAATTTGCTAATGATTACCTCAGATCATGATCGTTGGCCGTTATAGTTATAGGCCAACATATATGAGAATTTCCAGAGGCTGGCCGTTATATATACACTATAGGAAATTTAATTAAGAAAACCGTTATAGAGTAAGGTTTTTATATAGTAAAAATTTGGTTTCTGATTTAGAGTGCGTTATGGAATGGAGGCCGTTATAGATAGAGTGAACTGTACATTGAAGTTTTGGCATCACCAGAAAAGTTTGGGAAATTTTTTATTTTATTTATCATACGATTCATATCAATAAAAAAATGGCCTTTACAATAAAGATCCATATGAGACATAATTTCCATTATGTTTAATTGAACCTTCCTATACAAGAAAAGAAAAAGAAAAGGAGACGAGTTACTGTGCGTGTTTAGTCAAGTTGTTTCCGAATTGAACCTTGAAACATTTTTAAAACTAATGATCGCTGCTAGTGATTTACGTGAAAGTTAAGCTTTATCAACAATCAATTGTTCTACATTTGATAATAAACAAGAATTGATATATTTCTTTTTTTCAATTTAAAGAAATTTTGTGACAAAAGCCTTTATGGGGATTGTTATTGATGAGCTTCATCGAATATTTTCATGTAACGAACGAACTTGATTATTTCTGGTTTGTTTGCACACATTTGTTAATACAGTTATATATACAGTAATACGTAACACAAAGTATAAAAATGGAAAGATTTCTGAATCTATCATTTTCACCAAACAAATTATATTAGTCAAAAGACATTGCTTAATTTCTGGGGGTCAAATGTAAATTCATATGTGTAACATTACGAAAATTGTCGATA